ACCTAACCCCTACTCTTTCAATATGTTCAATCTTTTAACCTCACATGACACGACATATTTCAAGGTATAGCCATAACCCGAAACCCGACACGAACTCGACACGAAAATAACGGGTTGACACGACACGACACATTAATTAAAAGGGTCGGGTTAGGGTCAAGCATTTTCAACCCGTTTAGTGTTTCGACACGACACGCCATGATTGCCACCTCTAAGTCTAATGCATATGTATCCCACTATGCTTTTGTTGTATTTTGACCCAACTGACATATTAGTAGACAAAGCAAGGGAGATTATGGGAGACATTGGGAGTTATTTTTTACCTTGGGAAAATAGGTACACATATACGTTTTAGTGTCCATGTCTTTTTGTACTGGTAGAACATCCTGATGAAGTTTTATTTGTCGTGAGTTAGCGTTATATTTTACACCTGAAACGTAACGTGGAACCATCTTACTATGAGAGAGAGAGAGGTGGCAATTTATGACACGACACGACAAAAATACACGACACGAAACGAAATTGGGACGAAACTGAAATTTGAATTCGTGTTCGTGTCGTGTTCGTCAACTGTAAAAAACACGATGTCGTGTCGTGTTCGTGTTCAAAATTCGACACAAAGTTGACACGATTTAACAGTTCTTTATCGTGTTTGTCGTGTTATATTTGATAAAGTATTCATTAAATAAACTAGTTTTTAGTATATGTTATATTTTTCGTGTCGTGTCATTTTGTTGTTTTTTAATTCGTTCATTTTCGTGTTAGTTAAAAAACACGACATCGTGTCGTGTCGTGTTCGTGTTACATAAAACTTTATCGTGTCGTGTCGTGTCAGACAGAAACACGAAACGATAGCATGATTTTACACCCCTATATATATATATATATATATATATATATATATATATATATATATATATATATATAGAGAGAGAGAGAGAGAGAGAGAGAATATATATATATATATATATATATATATAGAGAGAGAGAGAGAGAGAGAGAGAGAGATAATAATTGTATTGAAAAAATATATCTTCACAATTTGGAAGGACATCAACCTTGGAAAAACACTATGCTGCACAGCTCTTTGACTGACCCTAGAGAAAAAAAAAAGGGAGGCAATTGCTTGGATTTAGCCTTGGACATCCCTCAAATAAAATAAACAAAGGATGAGACAGGGACTATATATGTATGGTATGGTCCTAACTAGTTTAGTTGCTGCAGATGGTCAAAATAAAATATTTACACTACAGGATACTGGCCTCTCTCTCATTCATACGGATTTCTGAAGGACTTCAAAAGTTTTGGTATATCATAAGCCAGCATGTCATCAACAGCCTGTATCATTTTAGGCTTGGTTCTTTCAAATCTGTCTATGTTGTAACCATTCAAAGACATTCTGAAGCTTTCTACATTTGGGAAATCTCCCGCTGGCAAACGATGATCCTTTTGAATCTTTTCAAAAACAGCCTCAAGATTATCAACCAGCCTCTGTTGTGCCTTAGCCTTGCCAATCCAGCTTGGCATCTCCTTCTTAAGCTGGTTCATTATGTATGCATGGATCTTGGCTGCCCTTGCACGCTTCACAAACTCATTGATCTGTCCAAAATAAATATAAATCATTTAAATTACCCCATTAATTACAACTTATTTAATTAATAGATACAACAAACTCACTCTCCGATCACAAGCCTTCTTAGGTATGTCTTTCAAGTCAGCTAGAAGGTCTTCCTGTTCTTTCTCAAACAATTCTGCCCCCATTGGCCCATCATCACTCACATTTATAGGCTTGTCATTAAAGGAACTGCTCACATAAAAACAAGCCCACTTCAGTTTACTATAAAATCAAAAACACAAAGAGAGAGAGAGAGAGAGAGAGAGAGAGAGAGAGAGAGTCTACCCGATGTAAACACGCATAACCTCGGGGGTATTTAGGACTTTACCAAGGGACCACATTAGTGCTCCATACACCCGCATAAGCTACACCACAAAACCAATATAAACGACTGACCAACTCAGAAAGAATATACATTATAAGGTCCGTTTAGTTTCTTTTCTGGATAGAATAAATTGTCTGAATGGACTAACATTCCAACAAAGATTTTTCACAATAGTCATCACTTTCAACGTGAGATGAGTTTGATTGGAAATGAAGTAAAAAAGAAATAACCATGATTAAGATCCATTAAGTAAAAAAGAAACAACCCTAAGAGTCTAAGACCAATGTAGGGTGGTGGGGGTGGGGGTGGGGGTGGAGCTTTCTTACTTGTTGGGTATCAACTTGATCAGCCTTGTTTAAGACAACACGAATCTTGTCATCATGTCCTTTCAGGGATGATATGACACGTTTGAACTCGTCACTAATATCGAGTTTATGAGGATCAAAGAGAAGCAAGATGAGATCGCACTTTGCAGCAAACCAAGAGGTGACACCTGTAAAGTCATAGCTTCTTTGTGTTCTTTGTTTTTCTCCGGATAGAACTCCAGGGGTGTCGATAAACGTAATGTGATCCAGCAGCTTGTTTTTTACCCAAAAACACACAATTAATAAGTTAGTTATAGTTATAAAAACTCGCATAATCATTCATTTGCATACATAAACAATGATAGCTTACAGGATGAGGCATTTGAGAACACTGGAATTTTGACAAGAATGCACCTCCAAAACCAGTTAGACCATTAAACGGCATGTCTGCTTGGACAGCCACTGTGTTCCCTGGAATACTTCTCTCATCAGGTCCATTCTGTGCATGAAATCAAAACAAAAAAAAGATTTTTAAATTTTAATTAATCAAGTCAAGATCTTTATTAAATTTAGATAAAAAGCTTCTAGATACAAAATAACCATGACAGCAACAAATCTATCTGTAGTAGGCTCAGGTCCAATATGAGCTCCCGGATAACCAGTCTTAAGCAAATGCTTGATGAATGTTGTTTTCCCGGTTGAGTATTGACCCAAAAGCATCACCATGGGCTTCGCATCAAAATCACTATTGGTCTAAAACAAGCCAACTAATTTTTCGTCAAACAGGGATTTACATAATTAATTTTGTATATCATTTGAAACTCACCAATGCAGGAGAAACAAATTCATTAAAACGATGCATGCTTTCTAAAGGTTTCAGCTTCTGAATGTATAGCTTCTTCAGACCATCCACGATCGATGTAACAGACTTTAAGGGAAGCTAAGCATAATAAACACAAACAACCAAGAATATAAACAGTTCAAAACTTTTCAAGGACCAAATATAATAATCTTATATGTATAAAAAAAAAATAGAGCATTAATCATACGTTCTTTGCATGTTTTGAAGAAGATGAAATTTCAATCTGAGAAGCACCACCTAAAAACAATAGTAAAAATGAAGCATCAAACAAAATTGGCTTGGCTTGCTTTTCTCAGGATGTCTATTCAAAATAATTAAATACATGAATTTTGATTTTACCATTCAGATCAAAATCACTTGGGTTACGATGGTGTTTTTTCTTCTACAAATGTTGATATACAAGTTAGTGCAGTGCTATCAAACAAAATGTGAATACTCCTACCCTTTCTCTTATATATATATATATATATATATATATATATATATATATATATATATATATATATATATATATATATATATATATATATATCTGGTAAAATGAAAGGACGTACAGCTAGTAGGGCATCCAGACCCTCCATTGCTGGCGGTTTTAGTTCTTCAGTATCAACTGCACAAACACAATCAAGATTTTGTACCCAAAAAATAGTCATCAATCATATCAAAAATTAAAAAAAAAAAAAACAGTGACTGGATGGCTTACCATCTTTGTTTAAGAGGTCAACATTCAATGTATGCCCCGCTTGTGCCAAAGAAATCATCTAAAAGTTTTAAAAATGTGTAAGTGACGATTGATGCACAAAAGTAGATGGCATGAAGAAATAATCACCTGCATTGCCATAACGAACTCCTGGAAACCAAGAAAGCCTTGCCTTTTAGAATCCGCAATCGCCCACACCTTAAAAAGTTTAAGGAAGAAGGTGAAATAGATCAGAAAACAGAGTACGCTCGTCGTTTGAAATGAAAAAAGCTTCGAGAATTGATGTAGAATATAGGCTATAGGGTTATATTACAAATTGACATCCTGATTACAAAAACTAATTTAGGGCGTGGGTGTAGAAGAGAGAAACCTGCTTGAGGTCTTGTCGAGATAAATTGGACATGGCGAAGAACTTTGTGGCGTCAATGCCAGTAATACGTCCATCGTCATCTAAAAGTTCAAAAATAGAATAAATACATGTGATTGGAACAAATTAAGAGGAAGAGGAAAGGGAAGAAGAAAGAAAACCTGAGTCAGCGCAAACAAACCAATCTTGATAGATTTTCTGATGTTCCTTGGAACAATGATTGATCGGAGCCGAACCAATATCCATTGTAATCGAAAATCTGAAACAAGAATTTCAGATTTCCGAAGGCTCCAAATCAATGTGTGTCTTTGTTCTTATTTTGTTTTTTCTTCAACTTCAGAACCAGAAAATCATATCAGTCACATTGAACCTGAATCTCGTTGATGTTAAAAGAAGTTGAAAGTGATGAAAATTGGTCCCCTTTTTTCCCTCTCCGTGTGAGGCGCCAAACCTCACATATTTAGGTAATTTTCATGCCAAAATTGTTCCATTCTAATTCTATGCATAAGAAACCGATATGGAAGTGGACCCCGAAAAATCTAGTCCCTCCTTTCCTTCCCTTTCAAAATTCAAAGTATTTTCTACTTCTACATACGGACGAGGCAATTGGATTTTGGTTCAAACATTTATAAATAAAGAACTTGGCCCTTCAAAGTTCAAGGAAGGCATTTTAATTGAATAAATAATGAAAACAACAAAGATAAAATAAAAATGATAGACCATAAGTACAACTTTTTACATGCACTGATCCAACTACATTTAAACTCTATATCCAGAAAAGACAACAAATCAAGATGCAAGAACGAAGGGCAATGCCAATATATGGTTAAGAGATACCAACAGTCTTTCCAAGCAACCACAACACCAATGACATCTCTATCATCACTATAGTGTGCAAAGTAGTCCTATCCAGCATAAATCCAAACACTGTTATCCCAGCTCTGTTGTTCTCAAAATAAGTCACTACAAACAACAAATCCAAAAATATGTTATCATTATCATTCAGATTTAGGTGAAGAACAGTAGTATGTTAGCTAGCTAGTCTCATCATGATTCATGAAGGTTGACTTACCTAAAGCTTGCCTTTTCTGAAATGAGATGGTACTGTAAGCATATGCAGGTATGAGTTTATCATTGTCTAGCTCATCTTCACTACCAACATCCTCATTATCGGATGATGATGATGATGCATCTCGCCTGAACACCTGGTTTCCCATAACACCCATAGCCGTAGGTGGCGTTTCCATGTCTACATCTGGTGGATCATATGACTCGATGGTTGCACATACGTGCCACTTAGTCGCCAGACATGTCACCCCAAGAGCCTTGTGTGTGATCCTCGTCGCACTTCTTAGTAGTATCATTAGCCCAGCAAGTAAGCTCACCGAAACAAGCTACACATATACATATATAGCACGTACACAAAACCACAAAAACAAGTTATAGCAAATTAAACATGAAGATCATCATCCAAAATAGATGGCATTGATCAGCACTTACAGCAAGTTCACCGGTTTTGAAGATGCTGAGATCTGCTGTGGAGCGGGTAGTATCAAGAAGCGATGCAAATTGACTGACAGTCACAAGGATGAGTGCCCAAAGTATAAAGACTCGGAATCGGTGACTGATGATGCGTAGATGCCTTCTGATCCTAAGGTGTTCCCTCAATACAGATTCCACATCAGACTCGACATGGAAGACCTGAGCAAAATCTTGGAGGCGGAGGATTTGTAGATGGCAGATGAGGCGGAAAAGGACGCACACCAGGAAAAACACCACGGTTCTGTAAAGCCAGGAACAGAGCTCCAAGGTGCACGCTACGGCGTCGCTCACGATAGCATTACCCAAGAAAGGAATAGCGGTGGCGCCTGAACTATACCACCAGATCTTATATGCAGCCTCAGCTGTGAAACATGGCGCCACAAATATGAACACTATTTTCAGCGAGCTCTGCATGCGTTTAGTTTACACACCAAGGAAAAGGATGAGAACCAAACACCAGTTTTATTAATTTTATTAATATAGTATGCTACATTTAATCATGTACCTCAGAATTAATCGACATGAACTAAAAGTGCAAACTAGAAAAGTTAAAGAGGACGTACATTGAGCTGTTCAGTATAACCCCTGCGAACGGTTTCGCTTTCATTACAAAGCTTATCGAAGAAGAGAAACCTCCGAAGTCCATAAATTCTAACGAACTGGGAGAGGCAAACAAAGGAAAGTGTCGCAATGCTGCTGAGAGACAACTGAACAAGAGTATCATAAGGCCTCGCGTGGCGATTATCGCAATCACTACAGGCGAGGTAAAAATGGGAGAGAACAGGGATGACGATGGCGAAGACGATGAAAACTAGCCAAGAGAGGCAAAACGTCCAACAGTTGGATTGATCGACGCACATCCACCGGAGCCACGACCTGAAGCTGTGTAATTCGTCGTGAGCACTGGATTTCGTCCGAGAGATATCTTTTGGTTTTGCCATAAGAACGACCCTCTGGGCGTCCATGGCCGACGGCTGGCGACTGCCGGATGGATGATATTGATTACCTACACAGGAAGGAAGCTGGTTCTTTGCTTTGATGAAGTGATTGCTTTAATGGAGTGGGACAGAGGTGTACTTATAAAGAGAATAATTTGAAGTTTAGGAGAGAATAATATATGTGTCCATGTAAGGAGTATGCAATGTTTTCATAAGAATTAATTAAATGATAAAGCATCAAAGGGCGCTGGCGACTAGCGACTGGCGAGTATGCATGCCATGTGTACATGAGAAGGCTGTCGTCCAGGCTATCAATTCATCACTTCCACATGCCATGCCATGTTACTTGCAAATATAAACATAAAACCTAATAATAACACGACACCTCCTTAATTTCCTCCTCTATTTTAAACCTCTCCCACTCCCACCGCCATCTAAAACCGTATTCCCTCTCCATTGTTGTCAATTAGCATATACATCAAATACCTAACCACAAAAAAGAAAAAGAGTTATTTACAAAGATATCATATTTATCATATTGGTCTGCATCATATTTCTCAATAACCATCAAAATCTCACTTATTCATAAATGACCACAATCCCCATGAAACACGGTTCGCTAACTCACCAATACACGTTTACTGCAAGTAAATTTCCGAAGTTTCGCGACTCGAATTTACTCTCCTCACATATATGTCCAATTGTTACCTACAAGGCACGCGCAATCTATCACTAATGTTTCATTTTCACATCGTTCATAAAAGATATCTTTTAGCAAAGATAAATGAGACAATCTAGATGAAGACGGTGATATATAGCATATATTATGAATAGATCCAACTAAGTTAATAAATGATCTTTGGTTTTGTATTGTATCGTTGAATCACTAATAACATAGCTTGTTTTTATTTGTTTTAATATAGTTTTCGAGAAGGCAACCAAACAACTTAAAAATACAATATCTTGAGGCCGATCCATGGTAATTTAGTCAATAGTCTGATACAAATCGTTGTTAATGCATGAGAATGCAAATAATCAACCTACGATGATCAATGTAACTGTATGCGACATGCGAACTAATGTCTATGGAGAATATTTAATGGTCACGCATAAGGTTCTAAATAACGTTAGACGTGACTTGACGGCAATGTCAAGCTTCAAGCTTATACGAGTCGTGGCGAACCACATTGTTTGTAAGCGCCATGGTGAAGTCATAACGAGCTTTTTAGAACCTTGGCCATGCATTTACATTTTCAGACAAGATTAAGAAACACTCGGATTACATATGTAGAATAAACCATTATGTCTTCAATGTTTTAATTTGTAAAAGTTTGTTCTCTAAGGCTTGAGGGAGTGGTGCATGGCATGTCATAGTGCCACATCAGCTTTTTGGTATCTACCTCACTATCACGTCACTTTTGTCACACAACATGCATGACATGCCATTTTCAAGGGGTTGGTCAAAGTCGAAAAAAACTATAAAAAAAACAAATGTCATTTACACTCACACTCTCTCCTCTCACCTCGGCATACAATGTATCGGGTGTTTTGCTATATGGGTGTACACCTTAATTGTTAAGGAGTGGGGGTAAATGAGGAATTTTTGGAATTCTCATCCTTGCTCATAGGATCAGTGGTTGGAATGGCATGTCAGGGAGTCACGGGTTAGTTAAAGGCTTTTGGTGCATCTTATGGATTTGGGTCTAGTGGGAAATTTGCAATGGATGTGTTTGGGTTCTTTTCAGATAAGGTATTGGATTCATCGTTTTGAGCTGAGTAGTGATGGTTGTCCTTTATCAATTAGCGTCATCAGGATCAAGGATTCGTTCGTCGTCAGTAGAAGGGTCCTGTTTTGAAAGGGTTCGATTAACGGAAGGCCATCATATGGCAGGGTCGACTTTTATCCGGGATTTGGTAGGTGGTCGGAGGTATATCTTTACGGGTATCTATAAATTTGTTCAGGCCGGATAGGTTGTTCCGTTCGGGTTGTGAAGTTGAGTCTGTGTGGGAGCAATTTTGATTGGTTCTGTCTGTCTTGGAGTCCGACATTATTCATGGTTTTCAATTCCAGGTATATCGGTTGGATACTCGTTGGCTTAAGGAAAAGTTGAGGTTTATTCTTCGTTAGGGCTTGTGATATCCTCTATTTTGGGTTCGACATCAGTAGGGTGGGTGGTCATTTGAGCGAGGTGATTTCCCCAGTCATTTTGGGATCCAGGGAGCTCAATCAGGATCGTTTAAGTCAATGAAGGAGATAGTGAGGAATGATTTCGAGTACGAAATCTAATTTAAGTGGGGGAGAGTTGTACCACCAGGAATTTGAGGAGCAGCTTTGGGTATAAATCACCTTTTGGGGATTGGACATGGCGTGTTGGAGGCACCAACACGACGTGTCGAGATAAGAAAAGACGCGGGTATCATTAAGAGTAACACGTCGTGTTGCCTCCTAGAACACGGCATGTTGGTCGCTGGAAATGAAACCCTAATCTTCCGGGTTTTTTTCCCCTATTTAAAAGAATAATGAGGCTAGGGTTTGTTCACCCTCAGCCCCCATCAGCCCTGAAGCCCTGAAAGAAACCCTAATCATATTTCCCTCTCATTTGTGAGCTAGTGTGGTGTTTTAGAGCCAAAGAAGGAAGAAGTTAGATGAAGGAAGCAAGATCCAGCAAGCAAGTCCCTCATCTTTTAGCTTGGCATCCTTCTAGACCTTTGTAAGTGTCCAAGATCTGATTTTTATCATTCCATATTGCTAGATCTTGATTTTTGTCCTCATAGCTTCTTGTTCTTGAATGTTAGGATGGTTAGATCTCATAAAGTTTGCAACTTTATAAATCTCCAGGTCAAGGTGACCTTGTAGAGTGTTGGATCTGGCTTATGGTTGAGTTTTGATGCCATGCATAGAGATTAGTTCATAATCCTCATTGTTGACCTAATATGGGTTCAAGACATGCATGTCTATAAAGCACCGACCTTTGGGATGGTTTTAGTGCTAGAACCTATTCTGGAAAGTATTGGGCATCAACTTTAAGGATTCAATGCTTATTGGTTAAGTCCTTGCATCTTCAAGCCTTATAGATGGGTTTTAGACTCTTTGGAGTAGTCCCAGAGGATAAAGTTGGAAACTTTATCCTTCTTCATATCATTTTGGTCCAGATCTGAGCTTTGGAGCTCTGGGAATTGAAGGAATCAGCTTAATGGATTAAGTTGTTGGAACTCTGGTAAACACTGCGTGTTTACAAGTCAACACGACGTGTTGGTTGGGGTTTCCCCGACTGTTTGGATGCGGGAAGAACACAACGTGTTTGCAAGTCAACACGGCGTGTTGGAGTCAACATGGACTGTTGACTTTGACTTTTGACTTTGACCAAGTTGACCTAAAGGGTATTTTGGGTATTTTGGTATTTCGGGATTTTGATGGTTATTGGTCACTTAGATGGATAGGTATAGGTTGGAGCTGAGATTCGGATTTAGGACCTTATCAGCTATGGATCAGATCGAGAGGTGAGTTTTCCTCACTTCACTTTCGGGTCGAAGGCACCCAGGCCGGCCCATTGGTTTGATAACCTGATATTCGTTTGTAACAAAGTAAATTCGCAAAACAATTTTTCATTTCCAACCATAATAAATTTCGTAAAATAATTTCAAAACTCATTGTATCAAATATTATCTCAGAAAAACATATCCCAGAATCTCAAACACATAAATCTTCATCAGTGTGTACAGATCATGCCGGCGCCTTCCCGCGATCCTCGCTGGTACCTGAAACACATATCACGCAACACGGTAAGCATAAATGCTTAGTGAGTTCCCAAAATACCACATATGCACATACGCCACTCAAGGCTATAACTCTACAAGACCTTCCGGTCAATGTGTCTCAGGGGACTTCCGTCCCATAATCCTGGTAGACCTTCCGGTCCATATCATCTTGACCTTCCGGCCCATACACTGTTGACCTTCCGGTCCATATCATACTACTCATAACATAACATAACACATACATATCATATAACAGCATACATCACATACTCATCATAGCACATAAGACCTTCCGGTCACACATAATTACCACTCTAGGTAAAGTATAGTGAGAAGACTCACCTCGTATGATGTCGAATAACCTCTCGTGCTCGATAACCCGACCTAGCCTCCTCCTATCAAAATGATAACATCTCTAATCAATACTTTCTCTTGTCCTCATCTCTAAAGAATGGGTAGAAGACCATTCTACCCTTCCCTGACCACTCTTGAATCAGCTTGACCAAAACCTTATGGTCAACTGAAGTCAACTCTAGTCAACGGTCAAACTTTGACCAGACTCGTCGAGTGCACTCGGGTGACTCGGCGAGTCCATGCGTTTTCTCAGAATCCTCCTAAGGCCTCACTCGACTCGTCGAGTTAGCCTTTCACTTGACGGGTTACCACTGGTCACAAATAGCGGGGCAACCCCACTCGACTCGTCGAGTCCTCTTATGGACTCGGCGAGTTTCCTCCATAGCAACACTCAAACGATCTTCTGAGGTCAGATCTGCTTCTCTAACTTATAGATCTGACCTCCTAACACCCAATAATCACGTAAAGGTCCAATCTTTAAGCTCATGCAACACTCATATATCCTTATTTGATGAAATAGCTCCTAAAATGGCAACCAAGGTCCACAACTCCAAAGGGACTGCATAAAGCTGGAAGGTTGGGACCCTCTGGACCTCTTAAGGTCCAGATCTAATGCTTATTCCACATTGGGACTTCATATACACCATATTCCATTGAAGAAAAGGGTCAAGAAACCCTAGATTCATGCAATCTACACCATACATAAAGAAAGGGCTGATTTGTTACCTCAAAGTGAAGCTCCTTGCTCCAAAGTCTCAGATTGACAACCTCATTTGGTCCTCCTTGCTGAATCCCTTCTCTTCCTTTGCAAAATCACACCAATAAAGCTCAAGATGGCCCTTCTCTCACTCTCTATGCTCTCTGGTTCGTAGGGATCTCTCAAGGGTGAAGGTGGCCGCCAATGAAGGCCATAAGGACCCTTAAATAGGGCACAGGCCCAAAGATTTAGGGTTTCTGTCCACAGCGCGGACTCGTCGAGTCGACTCTCCGACTCGTCGAGTCCATTAATTAAATCCAGTCAGCATTCGCGATCCTA